CCTCCCCCACTCTCGTCTCCGTTGATTGATGAGGTAGGTAGTAAGGAAATGGGTTTTAGTTTATTTAATATATTATTAATTTTAATATTATATACATGTTTTTAAAAATTAAACTACCAAACACAATTTTAGTTTTTTTAAAATTGAAAACAATCTCAGAATAAAACTACCAAACGCATTTTCAGAAATGATTTCAAAATGAAAATAAAAACGTTTTTGTTTTCATTTTCATACAAAAAATAAAAACGTTTTGGAACCAATTCCAAACGCACCCATCATATTTCTTGCCTTATCTAGGTAGGATCAGCTTCAATCTCGTATGCTCTTCTATATTTTCTAAGAGTAATTGCAATCTCATATAAAAGGCAAAGAAAAATGGAGCATACAATTACTACCACTAATTTTTTTTGTTAAATATTGCATTCTAAAGGAATTATTTCCATTCAATTTGGGTTTTACCACTAATTAAGGCATTTAAAATGCTAACGATTTAGAACTGTTTAATATAGAAAAGAAGCGCAGAAATTGGTTTTCCTCCGTTTTTTAAATGTTTGACAACTAAGAGCACAATTTTAGATCCTTTTTGTGCTTCTTTAATTCTCTATGGTCTCTCTCTCATCTATCTTTCAACCCACAATTTTTTTTTTCTTTTTAAGAGAATTTTTCCTTCTAATAAAACAACAAGGACGACGACAATTACATGCATATCTAGCGGTAATTGTATATACCTAGCTTCATTATAAAGTGAAGAGTTTGAATCTACCAATTCTAAGATTTTTTTAAAAAAAAAAAAAAGGAATACAACAAAAACAAACAGATCAATTGGAGAAGCTTGATTCTTACTATCTAGCCAAGTAATTAACCACCAAATTATTTCTAATTAATTTCTCTAATTACCCTAGAAAAGTGGTCTCGGTAATACACAAACTTTATCCTCAATTCATTGTGAACCGAGCTATAGAAAATGCTAATATTATTAATAATATAAAAAAAGGAAACATAATAAATATAATTTGAATTTAGCAAAACTGTAATCTAAAGAAATCCCAAGTTGGATTTGGTCCACCCCAAAAATAAATAAAAAAAAACAGCGCAAATGGGCATAAAAATTCAGACCCGGCCGAGATTCGCGGGTGGCCTAAGTTTCAACAAAACAAAAAAACGAGCGTTGACTTTTTATCTCTCTCAATTGCCCTACGTGGCCACGTAACTTCTATACGGCCTCTTGTACTTCCTCTTCGTCACTTCCACGTGTTTTATATCCACTCTCTCTCTCTCCTCCGTACGTCCTTTATCTCTCTCTCTCTTTCTCTCTCCCTCAATATTTAACGGCCTTACTTTCTTCTATCTAAACAAGTTTTATACACCCTCTCTCTCTCTCTCTCTCTCTCTCTCTCTCTCTCTCTCTCTCTCTCTCTCTCTCTCTCTCTCTCTCTCTCTCTCGTTTTGTGGGAAAGTCTTTTCTTGTTTGGTGTTTTTAAAGGTGGGAATTTTTTTTTGGTTTTTGGGTATTGGCTTTGTGATTTTTTTTTTTTTTTTATATTTGGAAGATGATGTTTGAGAAGCAACAAATGAAGATGGATCATAATAATTTGAGGAGAAGTGTTACTTTTAGTACTAGTAGGGGTCATAATAACAATATTAATAGTGATAATAATAGTAATAATTTTCATCATCAAAAGAGAAAATCCAAAGATGATAATCAAGATCATGAGAGGCTTGAGATAGTGGATTTGAGTGGCATGTCTTTGGAATCTCTCCCAAACACTCCTCTCAATTTGGGAATTATTTGTAAGCTTGACCTCTCCAACAACAATCTTCAGGTAAGTCATGAAAATTTTCTTCTCTTAAAAGTTTCTTTTTCTTTTTTCATTTTCATTGTTTTTTCATCTCCACATGATTATATTTCTGGTAATGAAACATTTTTATCCATAAAGTTATAAAATTTACCTCCAAGAGATTATATGTCAATCTTCAGGGTAGTTGCAGGTTTGATTTGTTTTGGATTTTTTTTCCCTTCTTCCCATATGCTTTCATATAAATCCATTGGAAATAAAATAGGACTGTAATTTTTTTTAATATATATAGCAATAAAAATTGTATTCCTTTTTCTACTTTAGCTTGCTGTTTGAATGATATAATAATTAGTTTGCAGTTACTGTCTTCAACTAATGGCAAAAATTAATATACAGTACGGCCTTTCCTCTTTTCTTTCCAATGTTTCATTTTTAAAGGCGTTCGCTTTTCTTTCATCTTTCCTTCTTTTTCTCAGCTCCCAAACAGGGTTTTTAAGGAGTTGAAAATGGCCACGTTTAGTCTCCTGTCATCAGACCAGAGATGATGATAGGAAGCTGAAAACCCAGATATTTTTTCTTTTTAACTAATTTAGCTATTTAATTCCAAAATAACCAAAATTGTCACCCGCGGGTATTTAGTCTTTTCCACGGGTCAAAATTATTTTTATTTTTTCCAATTAGTATAGTCTTTTCTCCTCTATTTAGTTTTTTTTTTTATTTTTTTATTTTTTTAACACCTTACCGTTACAACTAAGCAGCTTTTGATATTTACTATTTTCGTGGTCTTCATATGATTGATTGGAGGAGATTCATCTTTCTTTCTATTCTTGGACTAATAGTTTGTTTCTGTTATTTATTTCAAACCATTAAAAGAAAAATCCTTCGCTTTCCACAATATTTTAATTGGTTTCCATGTCTCTCAAAATATTGGCCGTGTTTAAAATTGATCTTGTTTTTATTTTTTACGTTTTTTGAAAAAGAAAAAAATAAAAACGTTTCTAAAACGGTGTTTGGCGTAATAAAGACAAAAAACAAAAATGAAAATAATTTTTTAGTTTAGTGTAAAATGAGATAGAAATGAAAAATGACTTTTAGTCGTTTTTCATTTTTTATTTTTGTTTTCTCCTCTCTCGAGCAGAGAGGGATTGAGAGAAACATTAATGAGTTTTTTTTTTTATACTGAAAATAATCTCTTGATAAAACTACCCAATGTATTTTTAAAAATAATTTTTGTCTAAGATTGAAAATATTTTCATTTTCATTTTCATAAAAAAAATAAAATCATTTTAAAATGAGTTTCAAACGCGTCCATTACCTCTATGTTACTTCAAATTCACATACATGCATATATATAATATCATTTAGTGATAAGGAATGTACGCTTGGTATCAACTTTTATACATATCGTTGTCTTCCTCTTTGGATGTATTAATATATGTGTGTCCATATATATATATATAGAGAGAGAGAGAGAGAGAGAGGGAAGTGTTTAGAAATATTATTTTATGTCAATTGACTCTCTTAAAATTTTCTGTCCTCTTAGCAACATAATATTTCAATATTGTCACGCTTCCTGTTAGTTTTGTCTCATTATCTATCCATTCCTATAATTTAACGTTTGGTTCATAACCACTTGTAATTGATCTCGGCTATACGTAAAGAAATATTTAAAAATCATTTCAGGAAAAAGATGAAATATTATAAAAAGAGAAGGAGATTAATAAAATAAAGATAGAATAATATAATATGGTTTGCTTTTATATAACTTGAATTACTTATCATATCTCTTTTAATTAATTATTCTACAGATCATACCTGAGTCCTTAATTGCCAGATTACTGAATGTGGTAGTGTTAGACGTGCACTCAAATCAGCTTAGATCTCTTCCAAACTCCATTGGTTGTCTCTCCAAGCTCAAGGTTTTGAATGTGTCCGGAAATCTTCTTGAATCTCTCCCAAAAACAATAGAAAATTGCAGGTTTGTTATTTTATAATCTCACTCCCCTTTTATTTTTATTTTCTTCTTTGAAAGAAGGATATTAATAATATTATATATAGAACATTAAGGATATGATCTAGTGAATCAGTGATGTCGGACTAAGATGATTAACGAAATAGAGAGAGAAAGAGAAGGAGAAGAAGAGAAGAATAGAGGGAGAAATAGAAGAAGAGGGAGAGAAGACTATATTCAATTAATCTTCAAAGTCTGAATTGAAAATATAAATAACATCTTTATTGATAGACTCCTAACATCTAAACTCTTTTTTGGTGATTACTCCTAAAATCTAAACTTAACCAAATAAGCAAATAACTCATACAATCCTAAATAATCATAATAGACATTCACAACTGTAAATTTAAATATCCTAATTATTCTTATTTTTATCTCGTTCCCTGTCAGATAAGGATAAAAAAAATTAAGAAAAATTAGTTAAATGATTTTTTTTACCATCTGTTTTCATAAATGGCGGAACTTTTTTAATTTTATGAAAATGACTGTTTTGTTTACAAGAGTCAATCAGTGATCTACCTATAGTTAATCAGTTATTGACCACAGTTAATCAATTATTGACTCACGGTCAATTAGTGACTAACCGATTCATTATTAATTCATTGATCATTAAAAACCTTGTAATTTGTTGATTGAAATTGATTAATTACTAATTTATTTTGGTTAATTATTAACTAATATTGATTAACAATGAAAAATCATTGAGTCAATTAGTTATAAACTAAAGTCAATCATTGATAGACCATTAAGTCAATCAGTAATTGACCTCGCCACTAAGTCAATTAGTTAAAGTTTGTTAAGTCAATCAGTGATTGACTACCAAGTTATTAAAACCGTCAATTTTTACAATTTTACAAAACTTCGGCCATTTAAAAAAAAAAAAAAAAACCCCTCTAAAAACCGGTCATTTGGCTCTATCTCCCAAAAGTTTATATCACTGAACACATAACAAATTAATGTAGTTATTGATGAATATAAGCTAAGTTTTGAAAAAGCTAGCATCTGGCCATTTAATATGTAAGCATGTGTCCTTGAATATAATTATAAATTATTTGCGTGTCACAATAATTATTATGTGGTATCAATTAACAATATTAGTTTAATTCTCTTTACCCCAAAAACAAAAGAAAAACCTCCTAGTTTGACAGTTTGCACCTTCTTGTGGAATAAATCATATTGCACTAAGATGAGGTTAGTAAATTCCACTTTAAGCGTCATAATTGTCACTTTGACTTGTGCACTAGATGTGGACGCAAGTTTAATGGCACATTGGAAAAAAGAATGTCGAATAAATGTTTGTAATTCAATGCTTATAGGGCAAAAAAAAGGAACTAGAAACTGTACATTACATACATATAGTCATACTTGTATACATACACGCAAAAGAGGGAGGAAAAAAAAAAAAAAAAAAGGGACCACTTTTGGGCAGCTGATGAAGACTTTCTAACCGCTCATACTCAATGTACGGCCGAAGTGACTTAAAATATAGACCAAAACGATTAAGTTATAATTTAAATCCGGAAAAGAAAATAAGCTCTTTCAGTCATGAGGTAGCTTTTGTGGAGATAGTCATTATAGGGGAAGATAATCACCTAGAATATATATGGTTGCTAATTTTACTCTTTTTCTCTTTCTCTTTCTAATTTCTTTCAGCCACAGTACTTTTGTTTCTTTTTTGGAAAGGCGAAAATTGATTCTAAAGTTGGTTCTGTAATTTTAGTTTCTAAGGGCTTATTCTTTTGAGTGAAAAACTCAAAAAAATGTAACTCGAGTTATAATTTTATTTGAGTTTATGTTTTTTTAAGTTTAAACTCGAGTTCAAACTCGAGTTTAGGACTAAAACTCGAGTTCAAGTTTCCCCTTCAACTCGAGTTCAAAAATTCGAACTCAAATTAATGAACAATATTTTTTCTATTCTTAAAAATGCTATAATTTTTTCGTTTTAATTCTGATTGAGATGATTTTTTTTTTCTATGCGTTGATAATGAAAAGACGAATAAAACCCGACCTATATACCCTATTAAAATTTTTCATCAGCATTGAGTTTTTATTAAAATACTATCTAAATATAAATTCAAGTTTTGACTCACTCAAACACAAACTCAAAAAGATTCTTATCTTAAACTATAACTCAAATGTACACAACCAAACACAAACTCAAGTTACAAGTTCAACTCAAGTTATAATTCAAATTCAACTCAAGAATTATACTCAAGTTAAACTCTAAAAGAACAAGCCCTAACTTTTTTCCCTATACAAGTATAAAATTTCCCACGCTTCATCATGTTGAGCATTCTTGTATTAATGCCGATCTTTATAAAATTATTTAAAAAAAAAAAAAAAAAATAAACACCTTTTGTATGATGAACGATATAGTTGTCACCGTCCTAATACAAGAAGTACCTTTTGCAGAAGTACTATTGATAAGGGACGGATCATCTAGTCGCCAACTTAATTAGGAATATTAGCTAGTTGTCCATAATATAATTATCTTACTTCATCATTTATAAACGAACACATATGTTGTCAATGGTTAGGTTTAAATATATATAGACATGAGTTTTTAATGATTATGTTTTAGGGTGGTTACTCATCAAATATAAAATTTAATAACGTGACGTGATAAAAATCTACTTCATTAATTATTATTATTTTTTTTTAATCAACTATCCAATTTATCACAACCGTCAAATTAATATCTTATAATTAAAACAATAATACTCATTAATGGTAAATATTAGAATAACTATTAATAAACCACACCCATATGTTTATATATATATATATATATAAATTCAAACATCTTTAGGCTATGTTTATTTGTACAACTCAAGTCATAATTTGAGTTGTGTATGTGAGAAAAAATATTGTAGTGAAAAAGTTAAATTTAAATTTTTGTGAGAGAAAATACTGTACGTAATGAATAAGGCCGTAGTATATAAGAAGGTCTAAATAGTTGAAAAATGTATGGCAACAATAAGTGACCGTAACATTTATCATTTTTCGACTTAACAAGGCTTGTACATATAAATTTATTATTATTCATGAGTTTATCATGAATTGATAAACTAATATGGTATTAAAGCGGGAGGTCCTGAGTTTAACCCCTGTAATTACACTATTTATCTCCATTTAAATTCTCATCATGTGTTGGGTTTTTAATATATCTTGGACTTAAATATTCGCGTGTTGAGCTTTCCAATTAATTTACCCACACGATTGCCCATTATGCAACTCACACGTAAGGGGGAGTGTTAAAGTATAAAACTATTATTAACCCACCTCCTAACAACTTAAGTTTTTGAGATGGATTGGTAAACTAATGTACATATAAATTTATTACTATTCATGAGTTCTATACATTTAATTCCTATAAGTTTTTTTTTTTTTTTTTTTTTTTTTTTTTTTTTTTTTTTTTTACTTTTTCAAATATCATACATACACACGGCCGATAAAACGTGATATGTATATCTAATGTGTTTCATGATCACAACGGACTAACATTGCATGCAGATCATTGGAAGAGCTGAATGCAAACTTCAACAAGCTGACCAAACTCCCAGACACAATAGGCTTCGAGCTTAACAACCTAAGGAAGCTCTCGGTCAACTCCAACAAGCTCGTCTTCCTCCCCCACTCCCTCACCCACCTGACCTCCCTCCGCGCCCTCGACGCCCGCCTCAACTGCCTCCGGTCACTCCCCGACGACCTCGAAAACCTCATCAACCTCGAGGTCCTCAACGTCAGCCAGAACTTCCAGTACCTCGAAACCCTACCTTATTCCATCGGCCTCCTCCTCTCCCTCGTCGAGCTCGACGTCAGCTACAACAAGATCGCCAC